TTAGACAAAAATATATTAAATATATTAAGTTGAATACACAAGTCTATTACATATATATATATATATATATAAAGAAACAAATTAAAAAAGTAACTTCATCTTGAACCCAACTATTCTTTTTAGAAAGGCAAATAAATATGTTGACTTGCTCACACAAAAAATTTTCCATAAAAACTATGACTTCTCTATCTACAACGAATCACCTATGAGATGTAGGATCATTTTGAATTCTAATATATTTTGACTCTTACAATCCTTGCACGGTTTTGTTTGTGTTTTTATTCAAAAAATAAAAAAAAACCAACTACTCTCAATCCCTTAATTGATAGTGTTTAATACTAAATTATTGTTATTTGTTAACAAATGTAAGCTGCAAAATTTTAAGCTCAATATAATTAACTTGGATTGTTAATGGTTAATGGACATTCGTCAATTATTATAAAAATGGACATTCGGCAGTATAAATTTACGAGATAAATATATTATTATTCACTTCTGTCCTCTTAATAAGCAGCACATATTAACAACTTTACATAAATTAAAGCAACTAATTAAAATTATTTTTTATAAAATTTCAAAATTACTCTTAATGAAAGGTATTAGTTACAAAATTATGTTTAATTAATTAGGAACTTTTATAGTTGGTTGGGGGATACTAGGTGAAAAAATTAACGCGTTAAATAAAGTAGGTTAAGAAACAAGTAATTAAGAACAATAATGAGTGGATGACTTTAAGCTTTCGACATCAGATAAATGCCTCCACTTTTTTCCTCTTTCCAACAATTTGCCATCTGTTTATTTTCCTAAACATAGATGAAGTTAACTTTATTTTGAATCTGATATATATTGAATAATTTATTATGAAAAACTTGCATAAGACATGATCACTTTATATTACATTTTAAAATTGCAGGACAAGACTTTATTGTGGATTTGTGGTCGAGAAGGCAGATATCATGTAGAGATTATATGATCTATAAAGGAATCGGTGTATTGATTTCTTCAAATGATTGTATTGTCACTGTACCACTTTGGCTGTCATGCACTTGGTCTATTTCCATTTTTTTAATTTCTTTGTTTTTTTTAAATTTTTTTCTTCATCCAACATTTTTATTATATTGGAACAAAAAATATATATATCAATCGTAAGTATGTTACTGTTTATTAGATGTGTGATAGTCAAATAATCAAGTGATAGAGGACAGATCATAACTATATAAATATGTGGTAAGTTCTTCAAAAATAGGTTAAGTTGTTTTGATGTAAGTGACAAGTTTTAATTTAATATGATATCAGAATAAGGTGAGGAAAATATTAGAACTCAAATCTTTAATTCAATATTTTTTTTATTTTTATTTTTATTAATTTTAACACAAAATTTTAAATTATTTATTTAAATATCAACATAACTATTTAAAGTTCCTAAAATTAGAAGAAAGAGTAGACAATTAGATTACAAGAGTAAGATAATAATTTTAAAATTTTTAACATAAACACCAATAAAAAAGTAAGTATTTTACAATCTTTAATAGGATATCATTAAAGGTGTTAACAATTTGCAACTTTTGAAAATACGAGAAAAAACCATTGTATTTTACTCAAAATTTTATGACACTGACACGTACCAAATGGTATGATGAATGCCTGTTCGCAAATGCATATATCGATTATGGAATTGGAATGGCATATCTGAAATCTTACATGAGTATGTCTATTTCAAGTACTAGTACGATATAATTTTTTTTTATTCCTTCCATTTAAAAATATAAAATATTTTTAATTGAATCTTATTTTTTAATAAAGTAGTTACCTATTTTTTAATTAACCTTATTTTTTCATATTTACTCCTATTAAACACCCTATAATAAATATAAAATCATTATTAATAGGAGCACTTTTGAAAAAAAAGCAGTGATTATATCTCAAAAGATTAAAAATAAAAATACCTTATATTTTTTAACATTTAACTTCTCAAAAAATATCTTATATTTTTTAATAGAGGGAGTAATATACATGACTATTTGACTATCACTATTTGCATATTGTTGGGCCCAATTAAAATCAGGATAAACTGGCAGCGGTGCCTAGGCTTCTTTTGATGAACGAGCATTCCACAAGCATCATTGGATCAGAGGATTTCCGATTGGTACCTCCTACCTTCATGATGATGAATTTGATGCTCAATTGTTTTGAATGGAATAGTTTGACACTGGGGGAGCCTTTCGTTAATTTTGGACTATCGATGAGCTATTGCAGCTTCAAATGGATCCCAAAACATACTATTGTTGCTATCCACTGAATCGCTTGTGCAGCCTCTAGTGCTCTAATTAGTGGGTTTCAATACCTTTTTCCCATGCGGCATGTATCCTAGCATGTAATTATGCTAGGACATTAAAGACTTAGTTTTTGCCGTTTTCATTTTTGGACCTTTTTTCTTTTGTGCTTTTTTTGTTGTTGTTTTTGACTCTTTGTTCTTTTTAAATATGGCTGTTTTCTTTTCATGGCCAAAAAAAATTGTCAAGTACAATTAAAAGTATATCTCTTAAAAATATTTTTTCTCGTATTCACACATGTACTTATGACCTCATATTTAAGCATTCATAACTCCTTCCATTATAACTAGAGCCGGTAATTCGGGCCAAGCCCGATGGGCTAGCCCGAATTGGCCCGAAAAATTTTAGGGCCGGGCTTAGGAAAAAAAGTATTTTTTTATGTTCGGGCCCGAAAAAATTCGGGCCAAGCCCGATCGGGTTCGAGCTTGGCCCGAATACCCGAATAAAAAAATTATATTTTTAAAAAATATATATAATATAATAAATATTAATTAATTCTTTAAGTTTTAAATCATTTTATACTAAAATACCATATATTTGAGCCCTAGACATCATTTAAGTATTAAAAAAATATATTTTATATTTTTTATAAAATAAAATAATTAATTTCAAAGTAAAAAAAATAATTAAAAATAATTTTAAAAATTAAATTCGGGTATTCGGGCCGCCCGAAGCTCGAAGGAATTCAGGCCGGGCTTGGCTATTCGGGCTTTTCGAGGAAGCGAGCTTGTTCGGGTTCGGGCTTATTCGGGCCGGGCCTATTCGGGCCGGGCCCGACCCGCCCAAATTCCCAGCTCTAATTATAACTAATGCTTGTTAGTGCACTATTACATCATAGTTGTAAACCCTTGTTTAATATTTTGATAAGAAAATGATTTTTTTAATGTTTAATATATTGCTATGCTTCAAAAATGATGTCTCAAAATTTTTTACTTTCTTTTAAAATAAAGACATGATTTTTAGCTTTTTTTTATTGCACATAGATGTCCTTCTATTAAAAATAGTCATGTTCAAAATTCAGTGAAATGTTAAATGTGAGTACACCTTTCTCTGTAGATATTCAAACATTGTTTTATCACCTTTTGTTTTGCTTTTTTTTTTTCGGTTCAATGTAAATACTATCTCACAAAATTATCAAACGAGTCTCCAGAACTTTTGTTTTAAAAATGATAATCAGGGTGATTAGATTAAACATAAATTAAAAAGACATCTCTAGCTCTTGAGTTGAATTATTTCAAAGAACTTGCCAACTTTTAAAAATTGACCAATTGTATAAGGAATTAAATTCCCAATGATTTATAAATTTGAAAGTAAAGGAGATGATGAGTGGTTACTTGATAAGGTATGAGTCGTATCAATCATATGGAAGTGCAATTGTATTATTAATTGAAAAAGAAGTGCGTGTGATTATGAGTCAGAAAATAAAATATTTTCTTTAGATTAAATCTCTTGAGTCACTTCATCTTCCATATCACATGGAATTCAGGTTCATCTAAAAGCACAGTTTCATTCCCTTTTTATATAGTGGTGGGTTCTCGTGTTTTTGCCATTGCTTATTGTAATGTCACTTTGCTAATATTTCTTTGCTTTTAAAAAGTGATTTCGATCTTGTATATACTTCTTTTCGTCTATTTATCACACAAGTATGGACGAAACACAGATCATTTTCTCTCTTTTTATTTGTATTTTTCATTAATTTTATTTTTTGTTTGTGAATTGAGCAATATATATTCATTTAATTCTTGATGTTCATAAAAACAAATTTTGTATTATTAAAAAGAATACACTCATAATGGAAGTTTAAACAGGTTAGCCCAAAAGATTGATTGGGCTCATTAACTACTTTGGGCCTTGTTGGACACTTACATTTTTGTCAGTTTCAAACACGGTTGTCTGAAAAAATATGAAAGAGAAATTACATGAATCATTTTTTTAAAAAATAGAGGAAGGCTAACCATTTAAAAGGGGAAATTTTTTTTCAGACTTGACTTTGCACAGTGTTTCTACGCGTGAAACTTCAATCAATTTCTGAACCTAAATTTTTCTTAAGAAATGTCAAAGAGTTTTCTCTGTTGCATGATTACCTTGTTATTTATCATTTTAATTTTCTCCCGAAAGAGTTAATTCTGAGAAGAATAAAGAACTGAGTGACTTGAACGAAACGTGCTTAAGCAGAGATTATTTTAGGGCTAAACATTGACACTTCTGATTAGTGATTATTAGTTCATTATATAGTCTTCTTAATTTATTAATTGATTTGTAGTCTCCGTTGACAATATTCGAAGTCTTCGAACGTAGCCAGCACTTACGCAAGCCCATGTCACGCTGACTTTTAACACAAGGACAGCTTTCCATCATTACATCCCCGAAACAACACTACAATTTCATGCCATCAACGTTCACTCGTGCGTGTTCACCCAAATTATTCTCTACGGAACCTTCTTGTAACATTAACGATGCTGAAATAACATCTATCACCGTCAGTTTCCGTAGAATTTTGTTTCAAATATCATCCACTGGGAATCTTCCCCTGAAAGTTTTCAGCAAATTCTCTTCATTTCTGCCAGAACAGTAATGCCGGCTCACTTATAAAACGGGATAGAAGAAGAGGAACAAACCCAACTTAACTTCGTTATCTAAGTATATATATACAAGAAATTAAATATGATGGATCAGAAGCTGTTAGATGCAATCAAGAAGAACGACCCTCCCACATTCTTGAGGCTGATTCAGGAGAACGAGGCAATCCTGCATCAGAGAACAGACGAATCCTTGAGCACAGCCTTACACGTTGCTTGTCGGCATGGGAACGTAGAAGCAGTATCAGAAATTGTGAGGTTGTGCCCAGAAATGGTGGATGCAGAGAACAAGAACCAGGACACTCCATTTCACGAGGCTTGCCAAAAAGGGAACGTGCAGGTTTTAAGGCTGCTTCTTGGGGTGAATGCCAAAGGTGTAATGAAACTCAACTCTAGCGGTAAAAGTGCCTTTTATGAAGCTTGCAGCTACGGCCACCTCGACATGGTGAATCTTCTTCTGAATCTTCCCGATGATACTGTGGACCCAAAGGAACCCAGTTTTGATGCAACATGTGTTCACATCGCTGCTTCAAGAGGACACACTGGTAGGTTTATATCTCTCGGAATTATATCTTCTGCTTCGTTTCTGAGACCGTCACATAACTTTTTACTATGATGCAGATGTGGTGAGAGAGCTGACAAACAAGTGGCCTTATCTTGTTGAGGTGGTAGACGATGAAGGGAACTGGCCACTGCACCATGCTTGTTACAGAGGTCACAAAGAGATGGTGTGGATGCTTCTGAGGAGAGACCAGAACGTGGCTCTTCAGTACAACAACAATGGCTATACCCCACTTCACCTGGCAGCCATGAATGGTAGGGTCTCTGTCCTGCAAGACTTTGTGTCGTGCAATGCGGCGTCGTTTCACTATCTCACCGCAGAAGAAGAGACCATCTTCCATCTGGCTGTGAGATATGGGCACTACAATGCTCTGGTCTTCTTGGCTCAGGTCTCTAATGGCACCAACCTTCTTCACTGTCAGGATCGATATGGGAATACTGTCTTGCATCTTGCTGTTACTGCTGGGCGCCATGCGGTAAGCTAGCAGATTTGGTTAGATAAATTAGGGAAAGCATGATTTTTGGTATAGATTTATGCATGTGTTCAGGTACTAATTCTTATAATTGTGGTAAACTTTTGTCAAAATCTTCAAAAATGGCATGAGCCTGGTCTGGCAATAGTGTGTTGCTGATATGCCAATATTGTATAATAGTAGTAACTTTGATCAAAGTTGATTACAACTCCAGAAGATATTTCTTAATGAAAATACTACAAGAATCTTCACCCAAGTTTGATCGGATTTGGAGTATCTGCTGCCTTCTCAAAATCGCAGCCTTTAATTTTGCTCGTAAGTTGAAATTTCTCTTACCATTAGATGAAAAGAAGGGTTGCAATTTCGGGCACTAGGAATAAGGCAGCAAACACTCCTAATCCAAGTTCATCACAACTATAAGCATAAAATCTGTTTTCTTGATAAAACTAATATATAAAAGAAGGATTGTATTTGTAAGAGTGAGAAAGCTTGTATGATTTTTTCTTAGAGCTTCATGCTGTTTTACAGATAGCTGAGTTCTTGATCAACAAGACAAATCTGGATATCAATACTCGGAACAGGGAAGGACTGACAGCACTTGACATCCTGGAGCAGGCCAAGGACAGTTTAGAAAACAGGCAGCTTCAAGCAATATTCATCAGAGCCGGCGCCAAAAGAAGCAACCACTTCCCATCTCCTTCACTGGAACCACCAGGAACTTCCAATAATAGTTCTCTATCACCCATAGCTTCCAGGCTTTCTCAGTCCCGAACCCATGATACTAAATCAAACGAGCTTGAGCTTCACAGCTATGAAATGATCTCTTTCGAATCCGTAACCCCTCCAGAAGCCAGCAAAAACACATCCCCTCGCCCTCAAACTCTGAACAGATTTGAGAATCAAATTTATAAATGTGATGACTTCCCTCCAAAAATCGCTTGGAAACAAAAAAATCAGAGCAGAAAACAGAGGAAAAATGCGACCGAGAGCCATGAGATGCAGAAAGAGGCGTTGTTAAATGCAAGAAACACAATCATATTAGTAGCTATCTTAATAGCGACTGTGACTTTCGCTGCTGGTGTCAATCCACCTGGTGGAGTGTACCAAGAAGGACCCATGAAAGGGAAGTCAATGGTGGGAAACTTGACAGCTTTTAAAGTGTTTGCAATCGCAAACAACATAGCACTGTTCACATCTCTATCAATAGTGATTGTGCTCGTGAGTGTGATTCCATTCAGAAGAAGGACTCATATGAGGTTGCTGGTGGTGGCTCACAAGGCCATGTGGGTGTCAGTGGCTTTTACTGCAACTGGGTATGTGGCAGCCACATGGGTGATCTTGCCTCATGGAGTTGGGCTTCAATGGCTATCTGTGGTGCTCATAGCAGTAGGAGGTGGCTCTCTAGGCACGGTCTTCATTGGTTTGACAATGATGTTGATTGAGCACTGTTACAGAAAATCAAAGTGGAGGAAGAGAAGAAGCCAAGGTGTGGAGGAAGGAGATGCTGGCTCTGAAAAGGAAAGTCAAAACTCAGATGTCGAGAGTGCTTATTTCCAGGGTTATCATTCATTCTGATACATTAGTTCTCTTGATTTCTCTGTAATTAGTTTAACCATGCTTCTATTTTATAAATCAAGCTTTCTTTCAAAGAAAAGTCTTGCAATATTAATTATGTTCATGTACAGCTTGTTGTTTGGATTCAAAAGTCTTCTTTGTTTCTGTAACATTTTGTCCAACTGGTATGGTACAACAGATTGAATAAGAACCCAGAAGACTTTGATTTAGTTCCTCCTCGTGTCACGGAAACATGACTAGAAGGTGATATAATTAATATTTCTCAGTTTGACAAAGAATCTCTCACTAGGTCTTGACGAATCTGTCAAGGATTCTTTAATGGCTAAGTCAGAGAGGAAAAAAAAATAAAGCTATAATTTCTGGCGATCGACACATCCATGCTTAGACATCAAACTAACAACTAGATTTAGGTAAGAGTGCTATGTATGGATTAATTCACATATCATATTAGCACTTGTATTTTTAATATGTATCTCTCAATGCATTATATACGTATATTATGAATATAGAGGATCTAGATTCTTTAGATATATGGAGTAATTTATACGCTTTCTTGTTAATTGCCAAGCAAGATCATAACTGAATCTATGTGACGCCCAAAAATCTGTTATTTTTATTCCCTCAACATCTTTCTTTCTTTCTTCTTTTTTAAGGCCAAGCGCTGAACATCTTTCTCAGATTTTAATCCATGAAGTTTCGTATGATTCTACGTTGAAATTGGTAATCAACTAACGTCGTGGAATCTTATAGTACTGTGGGACCAACTCAGATGAGAAAACAGAAGAAACTCTAAAGATTTTTATTTTATCCGTCCTTTTTTTATGATAGGAATATTTGGTCTACTTGAGTATATTAATTTCCTGTAACTTACATAACCATGAATGAGAAATTTAAACTTTGTTTATATATAACCATGTCTCCATCAAATTCTGGCATTAGAAGCAGAATTTTTGAAAGCTGAATGCTCTAAGAGATACATATACATATACCTATTCATATAGACACTATACATATAGACAAACACATATTTATATATGCTGAGTAAATACTTGATATCAGAAAGTAAAATTACGCCTGGGAAAAGAAAAATCAACGCCATGGTCTAAAATTAATGCAGCACAAGAATCACAAGACAACGATAATAATTAAATGATCTAAAACAAGGGAAGTTAGTTAATAAACTATAGTTCGTTCATAAACTAATAATTCCTAGACAGAAGAGACGCCTAAAGCAATCAACATCATGAAGTTAAAACAAGGGGTGAGAACGTGCAATGAGAGTGAAGTCCCTGAGTTATGACGACGATGAGAAGGTGATGGAGCAGAAACAGACATGGGAGATATGACTTGGACCATCAGTTTCTGGCCGTTGCTGCAATGATCATACAGCCCACTAATGAAGTAGAAGGAACCAGGCTGGTCCAGATTGATACTGCTATTCCCATTGTTGAACATAGTGATTGGATCACTCGCGTCACAGTGATAGTAATCCCATTTGTCCACACTCACCACTGAGTCATTCTTGTACTCAAAAACTGCACCAAACAAAACAAAACAAAAAATATTTGGCACCAAAAAAAAAAAAAAGAAAGAAAGAAACAAAACAAAACATATGCATATGCATAGGTTCCACTTTTGAAGAAGTATCAGTACAGTTTCAGTATAGTTTCTGCTGAAGACTGTGCATTGAGTGTATGTGTTTTAGTTCATGATATATATTTGCTTGGAGATAAAGGACAGTGAAACTCACCCAGAGAATCTGAAACATGAAAACGGATCATCGAAGCCCACTGGGTGTAAAATGCTGAGTTGTTAGGGGGAGGTTGTTGCCAGCCGAAGGCGTCACCAACTTTGAATTGCGTTGAAGCTTCGACTGAACCATTCATGGAGGAAGCCAAGAAGATGATGGCCGTGAGAGTACAGAGAAAACTCACATGGGAAGCCATATATGTTGGTAATGTGAAAGCGAAGAATGTAGAGGTTCAAACTTGAGAGGCAAGAGTGTGCGTGTGCATGTGTATATAAGGACATGGGCTAGCTAGTTACAGACAAGAGATGCACGAAGAGATGTTATAGTTGGAGTGTCCGAATTTGTGTTTGTGAATGAAGACGTGGTGGGACGTGGCAGTTACGGGTAGTTTTGTAATGGTGGTAGTTATATTCTCGGCAGTTACCCTCACTTGGAGGGTAATAGTGACGAATTCGTTGGCCCTCCTTTAAAAAAAATAATTAAAAAAAAACTTGATATTAAGTTTCGTGAATATGTTAACCAAAGCTGATGCAATTTTTGGAATCATCGGTAAATTATTGAATTTGAGTACATGAAGAGGGTAGAAAGTAATGATGGTTGTTTGAAGATCAAGGACCTCATATAATATATATAGATTTTTTTAACATTTCTTTATTATTTATTCTTTATTTTTGTCAAAGAGATGAAGTGAAGCTTCATTGCTCTAATATGATTTTATATTTTCTATATTTCCTAAAATTTTATTTCAAAGGTATAGTTGGTATAAATCATATATTGGCCTTGAAGTGGTTGGCTTCTCAAGATTTTAACTTTTATTTTGTTCAATATCTATCTATTTATTTAATTTCGTGTGTCAAAATGATCCTTAACAGATAGTTAAAATATTTATTAATTGAATTATATTCTAATAAATTAATTAATTATTTTTAAATTAACACTATCTTTTTATATTTGCCTTTATTTAATAGAGGGTTTCTTTTAAAATAATATAAAGTGATGTATTTATTATGAGCACTTTAAAAAAACACATTAATTATATCTTAAAATATAAAAAATAACATCTAACTTCTCAAATAATACATTATATTTTTAAATGAAAAGAGCATACACACACAATAAATATATAGAATGCTGCATTAAGAAATGGTGAACACTCTAGAGTAATATGGGCTTCATGGAAATAATGGAATACACAAACTCTCCGGTCTCCATTAATATATTTTGATATAATTTTAAATAAAAAGGTAAGAGAGATTAAATTAAAATAAAAAGGAAGTTAGATTAAATTAAAATAAAAGTAATGAGTAAATAAGAACCCCTAAAAAATATTTCAGGACTTTACAATTTAAAAGTATTTATTTTACATTAATTTCTGATCTTCAATCGTCATACTCCTCAAAAGTAACCCAAATAAATAGTTAAGCCCCTAAAAAAAAAAAATCTTCATTGTACTATTCAATTAGCTGAAGAAGCATGGGTTGAACCCATGAGCATGAACGCGCGCACCTGATTCATGATTCATCGCAACTGAAAATAACGGAAGAAGCCGCCTCTCGCCTCTCTCTTTCTGCGCATTTTTATACATTCTCCTTCTCTCTCTTTCCACAAAATTTGCCCCTGAAATCTCTCTCTCTCTCTCTCTCTCTCTCTCTCTCTGCAACGATGAGGACTATCTCAGAGCTTGAGAAGAAGCTGGAGGGGTTGGACATGGAAATACACGCCATTTTCCTGAGGGAAAATGAAGATTCCAAGAGCATGTTGACTGATCTGAAACAATGGAGACAAAGAAGTGACCGATTCCTCCAAGAATTCAAAGACGCCTTGCTCTCTGTGTTTTCCAGTAGCAACGACGCTCTCTCATGTCTTCAGAGGGACGTAAAACGGGATATGGACACAACATATGTCACACTGTTAAAAAACTCACCACCCCAGACGGCGCCGCAGCCGGCGAAGACGAAGACGAAGACGTCGTGGATCCAATCAATAGGTCACACGTGAAGAAAAGGGCCTTCGACGAAACTATCTCTACCACCAAGGCATTGATGAGTCAAATCAAGCTTGAAATAAGCCAATCAAAGAAGACGACGCTGGTGGAGTATTTGCAAGTAGAAGATTATCGTGCGCATTTTGGGCTCGAATGGACTCGTGTGTATGAACTTTGGCTCAGCACAATTCGAACCGCGAAGCTGGTCTCCAAGTTGATGGTTCAGTTCATCTTTTGTTTGGCATCAAACGAAGAACTTCTTCGACTCTTGAAATCCAGGATTGAGAGTATAAAGAACATGCCCATGACGAAGTGTAGAGTCGCTGAGAGGTTTGTGAATCTGATTGAGATGGCAGAAAATGCACTGATAGAGATGAAGCTGAAAGAGAGCATGTTTTCGAAGATTTCTGCCGGGAAGGAAGCCTCGTATGATACTGCGATCACGCATTTCTACCAGGCAGTGATGGATTTGGAATGGATCATGAGCTTTGATGTTTTGCCTGAGAAAAGGGGTTTAGTGAATGATGCAAGAATAAGGATTCAGGGTGTTCTTGGGTCTGTTCTGTACAACATGCAGGGGGTTGAAACGATGATCAAGAACATAAATCCTCGTTACTGGAAGAAGATGAGGGATGTTATACCTACATTGTGGAAAGGTTTGGAGAATTTACCAGAGAATCGTCATGTACAAGAACAAGGAATTCGTGAAGCTAGGACCACTGGAACAAAACCAGATAATGAATCTCATCCCAGACCTAAGAAAGAAAGCCAGGCCACGTTAAGAATGCCCTCAGAATTTTGTGAAATTAGAGAAGAGGATGAAGATGAGCATGGGTTTTGTATAATTAGAAAAGAAGATGAAGATGAGCATGGGTTTTGCATAATTAGAAAAGAGGATGAAGGAATCGGTGCTCCTCTGGATATGAAAGGTGTTGGAGAAGCTGCTGTTACTTATGGTAATAAGAAAGAAGATCAAGAAACTGCTGGTTCAGACAAGCTGAAGAAGCTGGCAAAGAAAGATGATGAAGGAGCAGGGAATTCTTCCGGTATGAAAGATGTGCAAGAAGCTGGGGAATCTTCGGGAATGTAGATGATGATCAAGTGGACCTTCTGCAATTCATGGTGATTCAAAAGTAAATGTCTGAGGATCAAGTCCGACGCAAGCACCATTTCTAGCTTTGTTGATTGATAAAAGATGATTTTTTTTTTTTACCCCTTGAGGATTTCAACTCAATTCATATATCCAAGTGATGGTAATTGGTATTGAGATGTTTGAAATTTACGTAGCATTGATGTTCAGATTTTATTCCTTTCATGTTGGTTTTGTCACTGTCTACATCGTTGGCGATTGTGAAGCGCTTGCGGCGACACTCCTTAGCATCAGCTTTGCGCGTGTTGTTGTTAATACATAACCGGCTGTTTTCAGATCAATGTTTCATTTTTAGTTCAAGACTTCATGTTGTTTATAACCGTTTTCCTTTGGTTTAAAAGTAATCAGTTATCTACTTTTGAATGTTTCAACTAAATACATTCAAACGAAGGGAATTTAAGCAGAGTTAATTCATGCAGTATTTGATGTTCAACACCTTTCATTTCTGTGCCATGCCATGTTCCTGCATTTGCCGCTGGATTCCACATGCATTGAACATTACGCATCCCCAAGTTATCTCAAACTTCCATTAGCTTATCAGCGTATAGTTATTAGTAAAACACTAAAATGAATTCTAGCATAAGGGCAGCGAAAATGCAAATTTAACATATGCCCTGTATTATTACAAAATATTTATAGAGATACATTCTCCATTTGAACATTTGTGTGAAAATGTATCTTCTATTTTTGTTCCAAGTACAAAAGCATGGAAAATCAATGCTTTGGCTTTTAAATCAAAGGAGAAAATAATGCTTTAGTTATAAGTTCTACAAGCTCTCAGTGAATTCCAAATCTTCAACTCAACTGTGAGTAACAAGACTTGCCTGTGCTCTTGATGATGCGCAAATTAGCCGAAAGATACAGCTCACAAAAATTTCCATATGATTTAGTATGGTTCCCAAGAAAAGGCAATTTAGACTCCAAACATCAAATCCATGATTTTGGACACCAATGATTTTGTTGGGGAAGCAATTGCACCTCCGCTCTGCCGTGTACTTGAGCTGCCATTCTGAAGATAATAGGGTCGAGAAGGAGCTGTCAACGTGCTCACTTCTGAAGTTCTTGCAGGTGGTGGGGGTATGGGCATAAATCCCTGCCTGTTCACCCTTTCATTTAAGGCCTCACGTTGTATGGGATCCAAAGGCTTCACGCCCACTATTAGCACACCATTAAGTTGCATTCCATTCTTGTTGAGAGCTTTATGAGCATCAGACCGATTCTGCATCAGCAACAACTAAAATTAACTTTGGTGGTTGTTAAAACTACGTGCACACAGCAATTACAACATAATGCTATGCAGGTCTATTTAACCTTCAGGCTTCATCCCAATAACACATCAAGGAAGCACTGTTTTTAAAATTTAATGCACAATCAGGCTTGCATAAAATGCCTTCAAAGTAGAAGAAGGTCCTAGTTAAACAACATTGGAACTTTGGCAAAATCAATAGGGAAATCCAAGAACAAGATCCTTGATTTTAAAAGATAAAAGTCAGTTCACCATGGGAGAGGAAAGAAGAGTCCACAGGAATTGCCCCGTGTCATTTTCATAGAAAGCACATAATAAATAATATCACATTGTCTTGCAAAATACATATATATATCCTAATTGTGCTTCCCGGGCTCTCAAATCTCATTTTATTTCCAAGGACGTATCCCATATGTAAACGTATCTTATGCATAATAAGATTTAAAAGCAATGTGACTAGTACTTGATTTCTAGTATTGATAGATACATGACTACTTGCAACTAATGCTGTAGAAAGGAAATCCTATTCAATACGTTTCAACAAGGGAAGGAAGGGGAACCTGATATAATATGTGCATCCAGTTAGCATCACTAGGACCAGGAATGTGTTTCAAAATTACACCACATTTTTCAAACTCCCTTAAGACTAAGTTGGTATCACCTGGAGAAAATCTGCACAATAAGAACACTATTAGAAGAGTCCTGCATACTGGCATATTCAAAAGGAAATTAGATCTTTCGTATTATTGATTTGCATCTTCACGGTAAAAGGTTCGATCATGGACCATGTATTGCACTCAGTCTCGGCATTTCTAAACTATTCATTTAAAAC